ATTTTTTTTTTTTTTTTTTTTTTTAAGGAACTCATAAGACCTTATTTCTTGGCAGCTAAGTGCCTGAGAAATTTTCCACTTCAATAGACACTATCTGACACCTTTTGTTTAAGAAACGATAAAAACTTTAAGAAGCACAGAGAGAGATCTTTTTTTTCTTTCAGCATATATGTTGACTCCCATGTCACTAAATTATGATAAATAGTGCTGGAATTACAGTTGAAAACATAGGTAGAAAGAGAGAGAAAATACATCTGGTTTTATCGAAATACAAGTTGTCAAAGGTTTTTTTCAGTAATTTCCCTAACCAGGTTTCTAGAGAAAATTACATAGCATAACTACCATTGTTCCTAGATATATTTCAATAATAAAACTATTTTAAAAGTAGATACAGATTATGTAGTGTCTTATTCAGATCTTGAAATTGATAATAACCCTAATCCAAATTAATTTCACTCTAGTCATTTTTCTTCTTCAGAAGTGAGTATGATTTCAGGGACTGTGTAGAGCCTAGGGACATAAAAGTTATAGAAGGTAGATTCTGGTTTAATTATCACATATATTTTGTGCTTAATCTGTGAAATCAATGTTTTAGGCAAGGGCTAATCAATAAAAATTTAAAGCCTATAAAAAGAAGCAGGGAAGTATTTCAGAGAAAAAGAAATAGGTTGAAAAGAGGTCAAAGAAAATGAATTTAGAAGTTATATATACTCCATAAGCAAAGCTAATGGATTATCGGAGTGTCTCTTGGTGAAGGCAAGTTAAATGAAATCCAGACACTGAAATACTTGTCATTGTCATTCTTGCTTCTGTCCTGCAAAGCATGTAACGTTCCGGGCATGTTACCATGGGTAGACTGTAACCTTATACAGCCTAGGAAAATTAATTTTTCTCTTTGTTCCTTTTAGAGATCTTTAATTTTTCTTAGGTAGTAGACATGGATTCTTTTCCAAAGATATACATTTGTTAGAATTTTAGTTATACATTAAAGAGAAGAAAAATATTATATATTTAGGGTTTTTTTTTCATTTTCCTTTATTTGACTGCAATGCTTGATTTCTCTTATACTTTTTTTTGTGTGTGTGCGTGTGTAGTACTGGGAAATTAACCCAAAACCTGCACAGTGAGCTCTATCCCTAAATCTTTAAAGGAAAATTTTTTCTAGATAGGGTCTCACTAAATTTCCCAGGCTGGGCTTGAACTTGCTCTTTATTCAGTCTCTCGAAAGAGCTGAGATTATAGGCATGTGCCACCAACACCCAGTTTTCCAGTGTCTTCTCAAATCCTCCACTCCCATGCATTTTACTCATCTGCCACTTTAGAGATAATACTAGAAATGTAGGAAATAAAAAAGCAAGGTCTAAGAAATCATATATCTCTATATATTTGTATATCTTTATATAGATGCATATATGTATAAGTAAATGTTTCTGAAAGTATAAATTGGAGTTTGTTGTATAGAAGTAACAGTATGCTAGAAACAATCACAATAATTGTATTAAACTCAATGTATTTGAAAGCTTGATGTATAATTAATTGATGGACATAATTCTGTCTGTGGCATCTTCATCTGGTGTCTTCCTTTGAATGTTACTATCTCACCTTCCTTAAACCTGACTTAGAGTTAGGCCTCTCCTGTGATTCTGTTACTATCCTTCCTATAGTTTTTTCTTCATTGTGTAAATGTTTGGTGTGTTTCTTTATTGTCTTTCTACTTTCTCCAGAATCTGTAAGCTCCATTAGGTTAGCTTATTTTACTTGCCATAGTGGCTTTTTCATAATGTATGAAACATGATAGTTGCTTAAAAATTATCTATAAAAAGAAATAAGTGGGATTATAAGCAGTTTTACATCATATTGAACATTAATATTACTTACACTGAGGAATCAAGTTTTAAATGCATTCTTTCATTTTGGGTAGTTAGTATGTGTCCAAAATAGATTATTGTTACTAGTGTTTCTTGATCCATAAATAGGAAATCCTTTGTCACCAAAATATATACTGCCTTCAATTGTTCTAAAAGACAATGTGATAAGTAAATCATCTGTCAGTGCCAGAGGCCCCAGTGATGATACCCATGATGAGCAGGACTGAAGCTCTGAGTTCTCCGCTTTCTCCCTACTTCGCTATCCTGTTCCTTCTTCATTCCAGTGAGGAGATAAAGGCAAGTTAGAATGAAAAAATACTCCGTGCACAGAGTAGCATTGAAATGCCGTTTTTTCTCCTCTGTGATATTTGTGTTGACCTTTTATTTCTTTCTCAGTTAAAGTGCTGTAGAAAGCTTATAGCCATTATTGGACAGTTTGTCTTCCCAGAAGCTGAATTGTGCATCTCTTGAGAGGAGGCTTAAGATAGTGGAAGAGTGAATGCATGGAATCTTCAATTAGACTACCTAGGTTTGAAACCTGGCTCTGGTCCTTACCAGCTGTGCATCTATGTTCAGTCATTCGACCTCTCTGACCTCATTTATAAAATCAGATATTTATAACACCTGGCAGTGAAGGTTTGTAATGAAGAAGAGTGACTTTACCTTTGTAACCAACTTATATCAATAAAAGAAACATATAGGAAGTAAGCCATGTATAGTGCCTGTTAACAGATTTCCCCAACTGACTTTTTCTCTTGATAGATGGGTTTGCCAGTTTCAGAAGTTTCCTGAAGTCTGAATTCAGTGAGGAAAACCTTGAGTTCTGGATTGCCTGTGAGGACTACAAGAAGATCAAGTCCCCCGCCAAGATGGCTGAGAAGGCAAAGGAAATTTATGAAGAATTCATTCAAACAGAGGCTCCTAAAGAGGTTGGTCCTGAGGGGAAGGGAGTGAGTGTGTTCAGTTAAGGGAGGGACAGATAAATTATTGGGAAAGATTAAGACCTGAGATACAGGCTCAACCTTTGGAGCTAGTAAAAGTTCTGTTTGTTAGTAGGCCACCTAATTAAGCACCTACTGAGTACAAGGCAGAGCAGAGTGATCAAGCAGGTAGGACTTATACCCTATGAGACTACTTTGTGACCCTCTAGGTCTCTTCTCACTAGTATGTGACCTCAGGCGGGAGTGGCAGTAGTGTGCAGTCTTGAGGGAATTCCTGAGTCTCTGAATCCTCTGTGCAAATAAGAATGATATTATTTTGTATAGTTGTGAGGATTAAGTTAATCAGTATGTGTGAAAACATATATCTCATTGTCTGAATTAATCAATACCTAATGAATATTCTTATCACTTGCTTGTCTTTCTTTGCGATTTTTTTTTTTTTTTTTGGCATCAGGTGTCAAACTCAGGTCCTTGTAGCTTGCAAGGCAAGTGGCAGCACCACTGAGCTAAATGCCAGGCTCTATTTTTCTTTGTTTTCCATTTCTTTTATTCAAGTTCCTTCTTTCCCTCACTCTCTACTCTCCTCCATCCTTTGTTTTTCCTGCCCATATTTTCTAGCCAAAATAGCATAAGACCGCTGCACTAAAGATGTTTAAAACCAAAGTATCAAAATTTACTACTAAGGATCATGTATCCTATGTTGATCTCAGAGAAGTTCTGGGAGAAATTTGTCCCCTTTTTGCTTTGTAACCAATGAAACCAAACTGAAAAGCCTGTTAATTCAGTCAGAGTGGTCACAGCAAGACTTGCCCATCCCATGCTGGTCAGGTCCCTGATATTCCACATTGCTCCTTTAATCCAGTTGGGATATCAAATGTCTCAAAAGTTTTGGAGTCAAGCACAGAGATGACTAAACAAACCCTTTGTATAGGCAATAATCCACTTAAGATGACGTGAAAGGGGAAAATCTCAAACATTCCTTTTCTCCTATGTGTATGCTCAATTCTTATAGTTCGAACATTAGATATTTATTCCTTTGGTTGTATATTATCCCTCACTGGCCTTTTTTAATATGTGAATATGCTTGAGTAGAAGGATTATTTGTATATCTTAATACCAACAGATGTGCTCCTTCATAACACAGAGGGTGAAAAACAGGAGCGTGAAGGTGTAGAGTACATAGATCATGATGACATGATACTCTACATTGAAGAACCAAAAAATTCTACCAAAAACTTCTAAATTTAATTGACACTTTCAGCAGAGTAGCTGGATACAAGGTCAACATTCAAAAATAAATAGTCTTTGTGTACACAAATAACAGACTCACTGAGAGAGAAATTAGAGAAATAATTCCTTTCACAGTAGCATCTAAAAAAATGAAGTATCTAGGAGTCAATCTAACAAAAGAAGCAAAAGACCTCTACACTGAAAACTACAGCACTCTGAGAAAAAGAGATTGAAGAGGATATAAGAAAATGGAAAGATATCCCCTGCTCCTGGGTACAAAGAATCAACATAGTGAAAATGGCCATACTACCAAAACTGCTATATACATTCAATGCAATGCTGATTTAAATTCCAACAGTATATTTCACAGCACTAGAAAAGAGAATACAAAAATTTATTTGGAACCAGAAGAGACCTAGAATAGCAAAGGCCATCCTAGGCAACAGACACAAGGCATCAGGTATAACAATTCCCAATTTGAAACTATACTACAAAGCCACTGTGATAAAACAGCATGGTACTGGTAAAGATACAGACTTGAGGATCAGTGGAACAGATTGGAAAATACAGAAACAACTCCAGATATACAACTTCATCTTTGACAAAGGAGCCAACCATCCTCACCGGAGGAAAGATAGCCTCTTTAATAAATGGTGTTGGAAAAACTGGATTTCAACCTGCCAAAGATTAAAATTAGACCCTTATCTTTAACCATGCACTAAACTAAAATCCAAGTGGATTAAATGTCTAAATATTAAAAAAGAGACTAAATTTGATGAAAGTTAAGTTAGGCAGAACTCTTGAAGACATTGTTGGTATAGGAAAAGATTTTATGAACAAATCCTCAGTAGCATGGGAACTAGCACAAAGAATCAACAACTGGGATCTCATCTTATTAAAAAGCTTCTGCACTGCAAAAGAAACCACCAACAGAGCTAAGAAACAACTGATAATGTGGGAAAAAATTTTTACCAGCTGCTCCTCAGACAAAGGACTATTATCTGGAATATATAAAGAACTCAAGAAATCAGGCCCCCAAATATAAAGACCCAATTCAAAAATGAGCATAAAATACACAGACATTTCTCAGACAAAGAAGTAAAAGCAACAAGTAAATATACGAAAAAATGTTCCACATTACTGGTCATTCGAGAGATGCAGATGAAAACAACACTGAGATTCCACTTCACCCCAGAAAGAATGGCTGGTATCAAGAAATGGACCAATAACAAATGTTGCTGGGGATGTGGGGAGAAAGGAACCCTTCTCCATCGATGATGGGAGTGCAGACTGGTGCAACCACTATGGAAATCAATATGGAGATACCTCAAAGACTTAGGATTAGAGCTTCCATTTGACCTAGCCATCCCTTTGCTGGGTATTTTTCCAAAAGAAGTAAAAGAATCATACCACAGTGATATATGTGCACCCATGTTTATAGCAGCACAGTGTGTAATAGCTAAAACTTGGAAACAGCCCAATTGCCTATCAGTTGGAGACTGGATAAAGAAGTTGTGTTTTTTTAATAAAATGAAATACTATTCAGCCATAAATAATGAGAAGTTAGATTCATTCATAGGAAAATGGATGCATATTGAGGTCATACTCTTAAGTGAAACAAATAAGCCACACATGTTTAAATACTGAATAGTTTCTCTAGTGTGAAAAATCTAAAAGTGTAAATAAGACCTAAATGCTATAATTGACAATGTGAAATAGGAAGAAATGGGCTAAAGGTGTAGGCAAAGGGGGAAGGGTAGCGGAAAGGAAATAGGGAAAAGAAAACAAATCTGAGAAAACAAAAAAATGGAAATAAGATTTTTGTAAATAGAGAAGGGGAGCGTGAAGGGAGGACAGGGGTGTGGGGAAAAAATGAGAACCAAGACCTGTCATGTAAAGGTACAAGATCCCAATCATGAATGTTACTGTACTGTATACCTAAAAAGTACCAGCAGAGTACATGGATCAAATTCAAGAAAATGAAAAAAATCCTGAGAGAACTAGATTTTAGTCTCTCTAGAGCTCCCCTTCTGCTCAACCTCCTATTCCAAGGACATCTGCTAACTCTCTCCTACTTCTCATAGCATTTGTGTTAGGCTATCTTTTGTTCTGTCGATAGGGAATTTCTTTATGTACATAGGGAAGAGATTAATTAGCAAAGAGAATAATTTAGTTTTAAGTTGGGCATACATATCCCCATTGCAACTGGATTCCTAATGTATAACCTTTAAACTTCCTAATAACTTCATTCCTCTTTATAGAATTCTAGGAATTGTTAAAATACCTGAAAATGAAAGAGACCCATCCAGACTATCACTAGTTGCTCTGAGCTCTAGGGAAACATTGTTCAGGAGGTTCCTTATTAGAACATGATTGATTAGGAAAATATGAGACATTAAAAATAGAGTTTCAAAATAAGTAAAATCCTGGCTGGCTGATCTATTAGAACAAATAAATGTTGGCCACCAATTACATCCTTCTAATTAAAAATAAACTTGGCCTCCATTATAAATAATAAATGCTCGTGTAGGGGTCCAACAGTATCATAAGACCCCCAATGCAAGCAGCCAAGGGTAATGAGCATGCTCTGGGCTCAAACAGGTTGTCATTCCTGCTGTGGGCACACCATAGCATTTGGTAAATATTGTGAGATCAGTGGATACAGATATGCAAATTTAGGTTGTCTTTTGGTGAGCCTCTTAAATCCTCAGTTCTTGCTAATCCTGAGCCTCAGTTCCCTTAATTGTAAGGCTCTCACATATACATATGGCACTTAGAGTATATTTAATAAGTTGTAGTTATCATTAAAAATTCTGCAAATCTTGTTTTTGATTTAAATGTTTACTTTTTGTGTGGTACTGAGGACTAAATTTAGGACCTTCACCCTGAGTTATATTTCATCACTTCTTTTATTTGTGAGACAGATTCTTGCCCAGGCAGTGCTTGTACTTGTGATTCTCCTTCCTCCACACCCTAGGTGCTAGAATTACAGATATGTCCCAAAATGCCTGCCTTGCTATTTCATTTTAATAAAATTGACCTATATAAAACATTTACTTAGGTGAGTATAATGGACCCTTGACTTATGAACTCAGTTTGTTTTGAGGGCTGGTGTAACTCAAGTTGGTCAAATGAAGGTTCAGGCTGCTCAACACAGCCTTCCAAGTCCCTCTCCTGGATACAGGCAGATCTCAGTGTCCTCAGAGAGACAGTGGCCCAGGATTTTTCAGTTTACTCCATACAGGAAAGGGTATTGTAGTGTTCCTCCCAGAACTCTTTAAAGGTTAGATCTGTATCTGAGACCATCTGGAAACACAAGCAGCCAGCATTCAAGTCATAACTCAAGACTTTAGTTGTAAGTTTAAACTAAAATTCTAGTTATGACTCAAGTTGTTCATATGTCAAGCTGGTCATAACTCAAGGGTCCGCTGTGGTAATCTAAGTTTTCTTTCTCTGAATATTAACCTCAGCTCTTCAGTCTGAGGAACTGAGAGATTCAGTGTAAGAATAGGAACCAGGGGGCCAGGGATTTAGCTCAGTGATTCTGCCGCCTACCTCACCAGCACAAGGTCCCAAGTTCAACCCTGGTACCAAAAAAAGAATATCTCCACGAGTAGATAATTTGTATATTGCAAATCATCACTTGTCCATATTTAAGTTAGTAAAATACTTTCTTAACTCAATAAGCAGAGACTATGTATCAAAATGACGTTTTTAGGGGAGGTTTATATACATAAAATAATTTTAAAAGTAGCTACTATTCCTTGGTGGATTCTGTGTTGCAAGGTTTTAAAGGTATAACCCATGTATTAAAAATATTATAAGATACTTTAAAAAATTTTAGTAGTTCAATCATTTGGAATAAGGGTGCCTACCTTGCTCAATATATATTTAACATTAGAGAAAGAGGAAGCATTATTTTCATTTGGTAGGAAGAATAATACACTGGCAATAGAGAAATTCATATTACAATAGGTCCTCATCTTTGCCCCACATAAGCTGTGCTTGCTGGGTACAATATCAATTGGCTTCACAGACATCGCACATACAGACAGGCTTTGGACCTCATCATTGTTTGGTCATCCCTCATGCCTGCATTAAGCACATGGCCCTCAACTTTCAAGCACTGCTCAGTTCTGCTCTCTGTTCTGGCCTGGTACTCCCAGTCATGCCTTTGTCTCACTCTAGACCACAGCTTTCCCTTAATTATCTGTGCTCTTTTCAATAGCAAGCCCAAGAGAGGCCTGAAACGTTTTCCAATGTTCCAATTCAGGACAATTAGCTGATTTGGATTCTATTTCTTTCTCTTTTGCATTCAGATTCCTTAAGAGTCATTAAAGCATACAATGTGAAGTATAAATATTCCTTTCAAATTATCCTCAGGCAAGCTTAAGCAAGCTACACCCTGCACAGTTCCAGGGGAGCATTCACAATGGTTCTAATGTGAATGGTGCCCCAGAAGCTGGGTCCTAGAGTGTCCCAGTTCTCAGAGCATACACAAGGTAATATTGAAAAATATAATGTATGTTTACATTAAAAATGTGGTACAGTAAATTCCCTTCAGTATACCCCCTCATGCTTCAAATACACTTACCCATCTGACTTGCCTCTTCCTGAAGTAGATCTGCAGGTATCATTGCAAAGTGTGGTAAAAAGTACAATGAATTCTTCTGCCAAATGTCATCCAGTAGGAAGGTAGGCTTGTAAAAAACATTACGGTGTGTCCTCGTCCATATTTATTCACTGGATCTGGCACCATGTGACTTCTGGCTCTTCCCAAAGTCAAAATGACCATTAAGGCAGATCATCAAGGCAGCCATAACAGTGTAAATAAAAGCACCCATGAAAGAAGACTTCCAGAACTCCTTCAGAAAGTGACCAGAATGATAGATAAGTGTGTTTGAAGTGAGGGGAGTATTCTGAGGGAGATTAATGGCAACGTGTCTTTTCTTGTAATACATTTTAAAATTTTAAACATTCACTGCTTTTTTTAGTTATACCATATATAGTCTTTTTCTGTAAAACTAAAGAATCATTCTTTGGGTTGTTGTTGGAAGTAAACAAGATGTGCCAGCATTTGCTACCGGTGGAGGGTCTGAGTTGGTGGGTATCTGATTTTGGTTGGGTGTGAAACTGAGTTGTACAATTCTGAAGCATCATTGCCGTATCCCTTTCCATATAGATTGAACACAGTATTTCTCACTTTTTAGGACTTTCCTCCCATCTTATATTTTATTGATGACAAATTCTGCTCACTTTTCCGTCCTTTATCAAATGCTGGGGTCTGAGCTGATCTGATGGCTTTGTTTCCTGATCCACAGGTGAATATTGATCACTTCACTAAAGACATCACAGTGAAGAACCTGGTGGAACCTTCGTTGAGCAGCTTTGATGTGGCCCAGAAAAGAATCCATGCCCTGATGGAAAAGGATTCACTTCCTCGCTTTGTGCGTTCAGAATTTTATCAGGAGTTAGTCAAGTAATAATATGGTGAGGCTATTAAAATCATTCTGGGAGTTATCTCCTCCATAATCACATGGCATTTTCCAATAACCTATGTATCTTCCCACTGCAGCTTTGCTCAAAGATACCTAAAATGGGAAAATCCCAAGCGATTGTTTGGGCTGTGGATCCATTGTCCAGTCCAGTGCCTCCCTTCTCATTTCTTCTTTCTATCTCATTCCTAATTAAGCTGTATTCAGCATTCTGTCAGCCTCAGTCAGAATCACAGAAGAATCCTTCCTAAGACAAATACCATAAGAAAAAGATATGACATGATCAAATGGGTATAGACAATGATCACCACCTAAATTAGTCTAAGACAGAATATTGATGTGAAAGATCAATTTAAAGGGAGCTTAAATGATCTAGTTTATTGTTTTAACTCTGATTCAAGAAGATACCCTCCTGGGACCAGAGATTTAGCTCAGTGGTTCTGCCACCTGCCTTTGCAAGCGTGAAGACCCGAGATCAAACCCCAGTACCAAAAAAAAAAATAAAAGATACCTTCCTAATTGCTTCTGGATTTGGTTGGTAAAAACTGTAAAGTTTTTATTTTGGAAGAAAACACATTATTTAAAGCACCAATCTTTCCCTTAGAGCATGTTCCTGTTAACTAGGTACTATAAAGATATGATAAATATAATTTGTTTATACAAAATCAACCTGAATATAATTCATATTAATTCACAGTTAGCTCCTTCACTGTCCTCCTTGTAAATTTACCAAATTCTGTGACCTAAATCAATGACCTAACATCAACAGTAGACTGTTTATAAATTTATCTATGTGTCTGTGATATAAGCCAGAAGTTTTAATTTTCAAGTTATTGAGGTCCTTGTGAGGGTAAAATAGTTCAAAAATTTCTAACTCCATTCGTATAAATTAAAACTGTTGCCATGCATTATCAAGAGAACAATACACTAAAAAAGGAAAATATTGTTAAACTTTAAATGTCTAATTACTTTATAGTGCCATTCTATCTTTTTCAAAGATAATTTTCTCCCAAAACAAAATTATATTTAGAAAAGTTACTGTGATTATATGTGGAGGCTTTCTATATAAGACAGAATTTTAAAATACCCTGCATTTCACAAAATATTGTGATACTCTAGCAACCCATCTTCTCTCACTGTTTTGCTTTCTGCATTAGTAACTTGTAATCATAGTCAGAAGCTCAGATTATATTCCTGATATGGCTTATACACAACTAATCAATAGGTCATGACACTTTTTAGTAGGTTTAAACTTTTAATTCTGTATTTCATATTATAGTCCTGCTATAATTTTTTCAATAGATTTGATTAAGTAATGATTCACATAATTTAGTAGTGAATTGAATCAAACTGAACCATATATGAGAGTAATAAGGTGAGGGTATTGAGTGAATTTATAAGCAAGAAAGTGGTTTTTAAAGGATTAATAAATGTTTAAGTAGAAGGTTACATCATTTAGTCTTGTATTTCCTCCTTCTGTTACCCTTTCTCATTTGCACACTTTAAGCATGTGTGTAGCTCATTCAGTTATTTCCTAGCCATATTGTCAGCAAAGCAATTATGTTACTCTATCCTTTAGGTAAACACTGACTGCATGGTGAGTTTTCTGTATTTTTTTATTTCAAAAAATAACATGTCTGAATTGTCTGACATTTCACATTCTGAAAACAGTTTGGAGTGATTTGGTCTACTGCCAACAGCTGCAGTTGGTATGAACTTCATTCACTCTTGTCAGTGTTAACCACTTTAGAGAAACTCCTAATCAGTCAGTCCACAGGGAGGTGGGATCATCATTGTGAACATGAAGAAGCCTTATCCTGTGCATTTGTGTGAGACTGAAAAGGAGCTCAGATAAAACATTCCAGGGTGCCTGCTCTCTTTCTTAACATCTGTCTGCTCTGCTCAAACTCAGTTGGAAAAGTTCCAACCCTTTATTCTCTCAAGAATCTAGGTAAATTGGTTCATTCTGGATGCCAAACATTTTTGAAATGTAATTAAAATTTGTAATACTTCATCCATGTTATTTGAAATATGCACGTGTTTTAAGGTATCCACAGATAAACCAGACATCACAGGTCTTACCCAGGGATTACTATAATGAAGACACCCATCGACCATATTCACCAACACACTGCACACGTTGTGCAAGTGGCTGGACTTGTCAGTGGAGGAGAACAGCCTTTAGCTTTGCATAAGCTGACACAGGAGGCAAAGTGCAGGAAAGGCACTGCAAGGGCCATGTTGTGAAAGATACAAAACGATGGAAAGATGGAATGTCTTCCAGCTAAAAGGTGACATTATTTCCATATTTATATATCTATCTCTATATAGCTTCATATAATTTTACATTTAAAGTGGGATATATATATATATATATATATATATATAT